CCCCTCCCCTCCCCTTACTACATCTCCCCTCCCATCACTATCCTCCTCTCTCCTCACTGTGCCTCCCTGTAGAAGGAGCTGCGGGCTGTGTTCCTGCCGCCCGGCTCCTGGCCACCTGGCTAGTTTATGCCCCGAAATAATAACATGGAAACTGTATTCTTTTATTTTTTTTATTTTTTATTTTTTTTGAGACAGGGTTTCTCTGTGGCTTTGGAGCCTGTCCTGGAACTAGCTTTGTAGACCAGGCTGGTCTCGAACTCACAGAGATCCGCCTGCATCTGCCTCCCGAGTGCTGGGATTAAAGGTGTGCGCCACCATCGCCCGGCAACTGTATTCTTTTAAACACTGCCTGGCCCATTATATCTAGACTCTTCTTGGCTAACTCTCACATCTCGACTCACCCATTTCTAATCTGTGTAGCACCATGAGGCAGTAGCTTACCGGGAAGGATTCTAGCCTACGTCCATCTTGGGCTGGAGCTTCATTGTGTCTGCCTCAGAGAGGAGAGCTATGGTGTCTGGCTCACTTCCCTTCTTCCCAGCATTCTGTTCTGTTTACTCCACCCACCTATGTTCTAACCTATCAGGCCAAGGAGTTTCTTTATTGATTAACCTATGAAATCAACAGATTGATATATGACACCCACATCACCTCCCCTCCCCTCCCCTCCCCTCCCCTCACACATTCTCATTAATTAGATCCGTTTCAGCAGCTCCCAAGGGCTCGGATGTCAGTGCCATTAGCACATCCGGTGATCTTGGCACTTGAGGAGTGCAGAGTAGACATTTCATAGATTGTCTCTCACAGTGGATTTTCAGATATGTCATGATTAGATTGTTATCCGTTTCTGGTAAGAAAACAATAAACATGCTCTCATTACATGACATCAAAAGGCTATAGTTTTAGTTTGTTCCGTAATTGATGGCAGTTGCCTCAGTAACTGTTTGGTTGCACTGAGGTATATTAATAATTCACATAGGAATAGGGAGGAGAGCATTTGACTTTTCAACTGTTTGTCAGCCTATTTTTGAGACAGGGTCTCACTATGTAGCTCTAGCTGTCCTGGAACTCACTTTGTAGACCAGTCTGACCTCAAACTCACAGGGATCCACCTGCCGCTGTCTCTCAAAGACTGGGATTAAAGGCGTCTGCCGCTATACCCAGCCTATGGCTATTTTAGAATAATGAGTCATGTGCGATTTTTAACCCAAGTGAAGGAGCGGAGAGTGATGCTCATGGGTTCAGTAAGTGTGTTGTGCCACGGGGGATCTGGATGGGGTCTTTCTAGTGTGTGTGTGTGTGTGTGTGTGTGTGTGTGTGTGTGTGTGTAGTGATGCGTGTGTTCCCTGGCACATATGAAGGTCAGAGATAACTTTCAGGAGTTGGTTCTTCTCCCCCATTGTGGCTTCCAGGTGTTGACTTCAGGTTATCGGGAGTCTATGGCAAGCACTTCTCCATACTGAACCATCTCGCCAGCACGTGTTGTGTGTTTTTAAGAGACTGAACTCGACGGTCTCTAAGGTCCCTGTTAACTGTAATGCGTTCTGAGTGGTTTCCACTCACAAAGCGTTGATCCCGTGGTGAGGCTGCCTCTGGGCACTGCACGGGCTTGCCTCAGCCCAGGATTTGTAGCAGTTTTGTGGTTGTATCAAAAGCTCTTGTGCTTAGGAGCTGACTAATTTGTGGGGCTAGCAGTCTAGGTGGGATAGATTTACTGCTATTACACTTGAGAATAAATTTAGCAAAATAATAGCAGATAAGGATGATGTAAGAAAACTAATTAGTCTCATTTTTGTAAAACGGTAACTGTATGCAAATAAAATATGCGTAAGAGAAAGTGTAAGAATGTGGGTGTAGAGAGGAGGAAGGAAAACGTGACACTTGGGTGCTGACATGACACCCCTATGAGGAGGGACAAAGGGCGAGTTAGATACAGGTTTGGGAAGAGGATGAGGATAGGGCAAAGATATTGTGAGATCTCTTTGTACAAAACTGTGTGTGTTCATACGGAAATCTGTGGGCACGCCCCCTGCAGGTTGGTTGATGGAAACACCACTTTCGGTTTCATCCTGTTTAGGTCTCTGATATTAGAAAGAAGCGTTGGGCTTTCATCTCTAGGTTCTGCCCTATACACCCCTCATCCTGAGCTCGTAGAATGCTCTGATGTTTTGTGTCTGTCTGTCTCCTTTCTTTCCAGCTGGAAATCTACATTTCTGAAGGAACTCACTCTACAGAAGAAGACAGTAAGTGATGCCAAATGCCACTTCAAACAGCAGCGGCTCGTCCTTCCTCCTGGGTCCTAGGTTATCTATTACTGGGGTACCTGCAAAGAGAGGGGACAGCATCAGTTATGCTTTTCCTTCACAGGTGGGATGCACAGACATTCAAAGGAAGTCATTTTCCACTGAGTTTCTGATAAAGTAGAGCCTGTGAATAGCAGCTCGTTCAGGCCGTAGGCTACAGACAGATCTGTGAACATATCCAGCCCTAGGGACCTTAAACGTCAAAGGTTTGGTTCCGCTCTGACAGTCCCTTAGCTGTGTGGAAAGTTGAAACCAGGGTCTCACAAGTTAAGCCTTCGGGACTCTCAGGGCTGTCTGTTAGAGTTCATGCGCTAGGATGGTACTGGGTGACTGTTTATCAAGGACTCCTGGTGTGTAGAGAGGAGTCAACCACTGGTCATTTGAAAACTGTAGAGGTGGGTCTGAAAACAGCGGAAGAGAGAATGTTTCCTATTATCATGTGGCACACGGGAAGCAGAATTTTATCCAGATGATGAGACCAAGTAGGAAGAAGAGCATTGGAAATGCTTGTTTTCTGCCAGATGTGGTGGGGTGCGCCTCTAATCTCAGCACTTGGGATGTAGAGGCAGGTAGAGCTGAGTTTGAAGCCAGCATGGTTTACAAAGTGAGTTCCAGGCCAGTCAGGACTACATAGTAAGACTCTGTCTCAAGTACATAATACAGATGCTTGTTTGCTTAGCTGTCATCACTAGATAGACAGTGTGAAAGAAGAGGAGAGGGAGAACAGGGTGGTGATGGGTAAGAGTGAGATGGGAGATCATGAGCAAAGGTCCACTTAGGGCTGCTTCAGAGGACAGCCCTCCTGCCTGTCCTGGAACCCACTAGGTACTGTTGGGTACCATGGCCTAGTTTGACAGTTCCCTGGGGATAAATGCACCAAACCCTATAAACTCAGGAGTTTTGTCTGACTTTATTTATTTGTTTTTATTTTATATGGGTAGATATTTTTACCTGTATGCATGTCTGTGTCTCCAGTGCCTGCAGAGGCCAGAAGGGGTATCAGACTCCCTGGAACTGGACTTACAGACAGTTATTAGCTACCATATGGGTTCTGGGAATCAAAGCCAGGTCCTCTGGAAAAGCAGCCAGTACTCTTATTATCTGAGCCATCTCTTCAGTCCTTGCTTTATTTATTTAATTATTTATTCTTTGTAGTGCTGGGGACTGAACCCAGGGCCTTATATACGCAGTGGAAGGTCTGCGTATATAAGTTGAGCTGTATTCTCATTCCATTATGTTGTTCATTTATTCATTTATTAGACTTGGACTCACTTCATGGACCAAGCTGGCCTCAAATTCACAGAGATCCTCCTGCCTCTGCCCCTTGAGTGCTGAGGTAGGCATTACCATGCCTACTTGGCCAAAACACTTAGAGCTTTTGCCTTGTAAACAGAACTATAGTTTAAAAAACCAGGCTTAAGTGGGGGAAAGCAGCAGCTGAGAATTTCATTCTGAATATAGAAATATGTGTTTGGATGAGGCCGAGAAAGAAGAAGGAAGAATAGCAGTTGGTTGTAGAGCAGTAGAGCAGTGGACAGTGTTTTCTCATAAGACTGCTTCCCGACCTTAGACATGACATTAGGAGGGGCTAGTTAGCCTGCTCCGTGCTTGAGAGTGCTTATTGCTCTCTTCCAGAGGACTGAGCTTCTCTTTTCTTTTCCTTTCCTTTCCTTTCCTTTCCTTTCCTTTCCTTTCCTTTCCTTTCCTTTCCTTTCCTTTCCTTTCCTTTCCTTTCCTTTCCTTTCTTTCTTTCTTTCTTTCTTTCTTTCTTTCTTTCTTTCTTTCTTTCTTTCTTCTTTCTTTCTTTCTCATACAATATTCTGTCTGTGTGTATGTCTACAGGCCAGAAGAGGACACCAGACCTCTTTACAGATGGTTGTGAGCCACCATGTGGTTGCTGGGAATTGAACTCAGGACCTTTGGAAGAGCAGGCAATGCTCTTAACCTCTGAGCCATCTCTCCATCCTGGGCTTCACTTTCTAGTGCTTATACCAGGCAGTTCACACCCACTTAGAGCTTCAGCCCCAGGGAATGCAGTGTCCCATTCTGACTTCCATTGGCACTTGTGAGCAGTGCTCATGTGTGTGTGTGTGTGTGTATGTGCACACAAAAGAAAAAAATCTTAAAAAAAAACAATGATGAGTAATTAAAGTTCTCAGTAACTAGTTGCAAGTTCTCAAAGAGTTAAATTCTTTGTTTTGACAGCTAGTGCAAATGCTGCCTGGTCTCTGTTGACACCGTTCTGTTAACTTTTGTCCATGTGTTTTGCAGTCAACAAGCAGATAAATGACAAAGAGCGTGTGGCAGCTGCAATGGAGAACCCCAACCTGCGGGAAATCGTGGAACAGTGTGTCCTTGAGCCTGACTGAGACCATCTGAAAAGCCAGTGACCTATAACTGTTTGAGCTGTTTGTTTAAATCTTTGTTGAGTATGTAGGTGATTTGTACCTCAAAGCATTTTTTTAAAGTCTTTTTTTTTTTTTTTTTTTTTTTTTGGTTATTTTGAGACAGAGTTCCTCTGTGTAACAGCCTTGGCTGTCCTGGAACTCACTCTGTAGACCAGGCTGTCTTGGAACTCACAGAGATCTGCCAGCCTCTGCCTTCTGAGTGATGGGATTAAAGGTGTGCGCCACCTCCCAGGTTTTTTCAAGGATTCTTTCCAGTAGGCTTCAGTTACCAGGTAGAACCTAATTGTTCAGAGAGTAACATTCTCAGGATTTCTAACCTAAGTGATCAGACAGAAAAATATTTTCTAGTTACTATGTGTAAAATTGTTACTATTTTTCTGATGACCATTCTGATACAACTGCTTTTCATGTTAAATATCTACTGTGCCCAAATTATTTGATTTAGATGAACATCCTAATAAATACAATGATGATTCTTATAATGACTCACCTTAGGTTTCTACTGAACTGTGAAATTTTTTACTTGTTTTGTTTTCAAGACAGGGTTTTTCTGTGTAACCCTGACTGTCCTGGAACTAGCTCTGTAGACCAGGCTGGCCTCAAACTCACAGAGATTCACCTGCCTCTTTCTCCCAAGTGCTGGGTTTAAAATAAGCATGTGCCAGAATTGTAAATTCTAATATCAATGTTAACTTCTAACAGACATCTCCAAAGCTGTGCTCACTGATTATTATGCAGAGTGAAGTCTGAAAATGAATAGGAATTCTTAAGGGGAGATCCTGCCTTCCTCTGTGGGAAACCCTGGATCCACTTAGAGCTGAGGAGCATAATGTGGTCAGTTATATACAATTTAAAATATTTTATTTTATGTGTATGATGGTTTTACTTGTATGTATATATGTTCACCACATGCTTGCTTGGTGTCTAAGGAGTCCAGGAGAAGAGGTCAAAACCCCTGGAACTGGAGTTGCAGACAGTTATTAGCTGCTATGAGGGTATAGGGATTGAACCCCCCTCCAGCCCTGTGTTTGCACAATCTAAAGAAGTCTCCCTAAGATGAACTGGGGATGTAGCACAGTGAGAATGTTGTGCTTCGCAAGTTCAGGTACCTGGATTCAATGCCCCTCTAAAAAATGTACAGTGAAGTAGTTGTCCCAAAGTTTTTGTTTTTACTGAATTAATCTGAATGCTTGTTCTGCTCCCTCTTTATGTTTGGTTCAGGTTGATATGGGGGAGGAGTTGATTTGAAGTGTAAAAGGGTATGGCAGGCAGCTGGCAGCAGCCCCTAGTGTTCCCCACTACCTGGATTAGTGCTCATGTGCAGTTCCTCCACACTGAGTCAGAGCTGGTGGGCAGACCCTGTTAGAAATGGTGGAGGGGCTGCTTTTGCCTTCCTCTGCTGGGCTCTGAGAATGTTCAGACATCCCAGGGGAGATTTTCACAGGTAGAGGCCGCCCCAGGACCTCCTAAAATCACCGAGCACTGATTTGCAACCTGAGTGAACCTCCGTGGAAGGCATCTTCCATCCTCGTCACTGTGGGAAGTGGCTAAGAGCCTCCTGAGAGACCTGAGCTAGGACTGCCCAGATAAGCCACTCACCGGTTTCTGAACCAGAAGGCCTGTGCTAGAGACTGCACGTTTATTGCTTATTTCACTAAGATTTCTTTCGTGGGGAGGGGAGGCTTAGTTTGCTTTGAAACACTAAGTCACAGAGTGCTGGGTGCCAGTACCCATTTTGGCAGGAGGGTAGAGTGTGACACTTGGCACTCTGTTGAGGGGAATTTTAAGAAGCTAACTCAGAGTTTGTGCTGTCCGCCGGTGAGAGACTCATCAGTTCCTGTGGCAGGCTTAAGGGACAAAGTGGAAAAGGCCTAGAGGTTGGGAGCAATTCCAGCCTTGGAAATTTAGAACTACTTTTTTTTTTTAAATGCTATTTTCTTTTTAATTTTAAGTGTATGTATGTTTTGCTGGCATGTATATCTGTGTACCACATGTGTGCCTGGTGCCTGTAGAGGCCAGAAGAGGGCATCAGATCCCTTGAAATAGGAGTTACAGGTGGTTGTGAGCTGCTGTGTGGATACTGGGACTCGAACCTGGGTCCTGCAAGAGCAGCAAGTGCTCTTAACCGAGTCGTCTCTGGCCCCAAGGCTAACTACTGTGAAGGTAAAGCTGTGCTTGGGTATCTCATGAGTTTTGCTGTGGGTCATAATTGATGTATCCGCAGGGTCAGGGAAGCCTCAGCAGAAAGGGTCTGGACACGTGCTGCTGGATGCCCAGGGTTCGAGTGAAGGATAGCAAGTGGGTTGTCAGGGAGGAGAGGCCTCTGATAGAATCAGCGACTCAGGTAAGAGAAAGCATGAAGCCAACCGGCAGAGGAAGAACTGGCCATGTGTTCAGCAGCCCCCACTGGGCTCCCAAGGCTGGATAGCTCAGCTGGCAGGGGCTCCTGCTGCCAAGGCCGACAGCCCAAGTTCATTCCAGGGACCCAGATGGTGGAAGGTGAGAACCGATTCCCGCAAATTGTCCTCTGAACTCCACATATGTACCATGGTACAAGCACCACACACACACACACACACACAAGGACAATAAAATGTAAGAAAGAAAAGTGGCAGGAAGGAGCCTAGGAAGTGGCTCAGCGATATAGCGAGCCCTAGCACGTGTAAGGGTCAGTCCCCAGCACCACTACCAAACAGAAACAGACGATCCAACAAAAGTCGTGTGTTTGAAATCACCCATGGACAGATCAATGCTCTCCCAACAGAGCTTCAGGATAGTGGGGGATGGGAAAGGTCAAACCTGCAGCTGATTCCTGCACAGCACACGGGTTGTAGAAGCTTCTTTAAAACCCCCCTGGCTTCCTCTGAGATGCTGCCTTAGCACACAACTCTCCCTGTGTCCCTCCTTCCTCTTGAGACCATTGCATCATTAGCTTTGTGGGAACACTGTGGTTTCTTCCCTGTCATTTGCTGTAAGTTTCCATTGACGTCTCTTTCTCTTCCAGTTAAAACATATATTACCAGAACCAGGAGTGGTGAGCACGCCTGTAACCCAGTTCTCAGGAGGTAGAGGTAGGAGGGTCCAGAGTTCAAGGTCAGCCTTAGCTACCGAGGGAGTTTAAGACTGGCCTGGGCTATGAGACGGTCTCAAAAAACCCCAACCAAACAAAAATCTGTTACCTAGCATATGTAAATAGTGAAGTATTTCTGTTTTTTTTTTTCTTTTTTGACATAAAATTTTGTTTGTTTGTTTTGTTTTTCCGAGACAAGGTTTCTTGGTCTAACACTCTGGCTATCCTGGAACTCACTTTGTAGATCAGGCTGGCCTTGAACTCTGAACTCACAGAGATCTGCCTGTCTCTGCCTCCCAAGTGCTGGGAATAAAGGTGTGTGCCACCGCTGTCTAGCGACATTAAATTTTTTTTAAAGATTTACTTTATATATATGTGAGTTTCTTGCCTTACATGTATGCATATGTACTGTGTGCATACTGGGTGCACACAGAGGCCAGAAGCAGGTTTCTGGAACTGGAGTCATGGACCATTGTTAAACTGCTATTTGTGTGCTGGAAACTGAACCTGGAACCTGGGTCCCTTGCAAGAGCAGCAAGTACTCTTAACTACTGAGAGCCATCTCTCCAACACTTTTTTTTTTTAAGAAATGCTCCTAATATTTTGTTAGGCTATGGCTTATTACATGTTTATTTTGAGATAAAGTCTCACTATCTAGCCCAGGTTGGCCTCAAACTGGACTCAAGAGATCCTCCTGTCCCAGCCTTCTGTGAAGCCTGGGACTTCCCGTGTCTGCTGTCGTACCCAGCACATGTCCCCTTTTCTCAGTCATCACTAAACATCTGTGGTGGTTTGAAAGAAAATGCCCCCCAAAGGGAGTGGCGCTGTTGGGAGGTGTGGCTTTGCTGGAGGAAGTGTGTCACTGTAGGGGCGGGCTTTGAGGTCTAGTTGTAGGAAGTATGTCACTGTGGGGGCGGGCTTTGAGCTCTCTTGCTTAAGCTTTCCTCAGCATCTTAGTTCACTTCTTGTTGCCTGCAAGATGCAGGACTCTCAGCTGCCTCTCCAGCACCACATCTGCCTGCATGCCACCATGTCCCACTGTGACGATAATGGACTGAACCTCTAAATCGTAAGTGAGTCACCCCAATTAAATGATTTGCTTTATGACTGTTGTCATGGACATGGTGTCCCTTCACAGCAACAGAAACCCCAAGACAATACCTCTTCCTAAATTACAATTCACTACAAAGTGGTGTTTGGAACCGAGAGTAAGTGTCTTCCTGTGGAGCAAGGCCGGGGCAGGTGTACCTGGTATCTGCCCTGTTCCATTTCTCCCACCTAATGCACACGTGTGTGCACACACATGCCACGTAACCATTGCTTATGTTTAAAACAATGGTTCTCAACCAGTGGGTCACAACCCCTTGCTGGGGGCCGAATGACCCTATCCTAGGGGTCATCTACGACCATCAGAAAACACAAATATTTATATTGTGATTCATCACCATAGTAATATTACAATCATGAAATAGCAGCCAAAATAATTTTATGGTTGGGGATCACCATAGCATGAGGAACTGTATTAAAGGGCCATGGCATTAGGAAGGCTGAGAACCACTGTTCTAGAAGACAGGACAGTCATTGTCTGAGAGGGTTTCTGGGACTTGTGATGTTGGGACTCAGGAAACCACCCCTCAAATGTGTTTTGGCTGAGTACCGTGCACTAGGGAAACTGAGGTCAGCCATGATGACTCATGCATAGAATTCCAGTGATCTGGAGACTAAGGCAAGGGGATTGCCGTGAGTTCGAGACCAACCCGGGCTAAGGAGTGAGACCCTGTCTTAGCCCCCAAAATAATTAAGTCAAAGCCTCAAAAGCAAAGTGTCTGTCCTTCTTCCCTCCTGTGTCCTGTGCCTCTGTCCCTCTCTCCCTTGGAGTCATAGAAACCAGAAATTTTCTTCACCAGGGCAGGTCTGGGGACAGCCCCTCTTCCTGCTTTGGAGTGGGGCATAAAGAAACTCTGTTCTCCTTGGTCTGACAAGATCCTTGCTCAGAAGGTCCTATCCCATTCCCTGAAGGAAGAATGACTGCAGAGAAGCCAAGAGAAGTCTGGACAGACAGACCCTGCTATTTCCCTGCATGCTCATTACCTCATACTCTTCCGTGGCAGAGAAATTTCTTTGAAACAGAATGAGTTAGGAGACATTTTAGGGCAGCTGAGGGTCTAGCACTGTGGTAGAGCACTTAACTTATATACACAAGGCCTGAGTTCAGTCCCCAACTCTGCAGGAAAAGTTCCAGTAGTGCTGGCGTATCATCCTTGAGAGACTGAGCCAGCAGGATCCAGACTTTCAGACCACCTGTGCTACATGTAAGAACCCTGTCTGAGTTGCTGTTCTGTTGCTGTGAGGAGACCCAATGGCCAAGGTAATGCTTATAAAATACAGCACTTAACTGGGGGCTTGCTTGCA